AGATGCAGATGGACAGCTGAGTCTTGTCCTGTGGAGGTGGCTCTTCTATGTTGTGCCATGCATTTATGAAGTAGCTGTTTGGGCTCTCCAATGTAGAGGTCTTGGCATTCGTCACTACACTGTACAGTATACACTACATTGTTAAGTTTGTGTCTGAGTGTGTTGCTGGGTCGGAAGTACACTGGGATGGATCAAGGACACGTATAAAACCTGCAGGACACCGGCCCTTGAGGCCTGGAGTTCAACACCTGTGATTTAAGGTGATAGGAAATCGAAATAACTGCAACTTGAATCTTTACTGAAGCTCAGTATTTGACACAGAGTTTGAGTTCACTGCTGCAATGACAAGTGATGAGAAAAACAATGTTATAAGTAATGGCGTTACTAATGGCGTTGCTTTTCTCAGTAACAAGTAATCTAACTAATTACTATTTCTATTGTTACAACGGCGTTACCGTTACTAACAAGAACAAGGTGCGGTCCGTTACTATTTTTCAACAAACAGACAGTTGAAGCTGTGTTCATCTTACCGCATCTTATATCAGTTGCATGGAAGTAGCTGTAAGTAATCTGGACGCTACAGCTTTAAGCAGCTGCGCGCTCCCGTGGACAACAATCACTTTCTGGCACAACACCTGAAGCTAGGGGGGCAAAACCACCAGGAATGAACTTCCAGCCATGCAGGATCTCTATAGACAGCGTTGCATGAGGAAGTCGCAGCGGATCCTCTCTGATCCCAGCCACACCTGCTATCTGGCAGGTGGTTCAGGAGCATTCAGACCCGCACTAGCAGACAGAGAGAGTTTCTACGCACAAGCCATCAGACTTTTGAACTGCTGACATTCCATACACCCTCACTACAATTACAGGACTCTGCACACTGTCACTTCAACAAATGCCACTTAAATTCTCATCGCACAACTTTTGCACAAACTTGTAAACACCAACTCGTCTTAAATTCTCTAATATTTAATACTGGTATATATCAACAAGGTGATATATACCAGTTTTTAAATTGTGTTAATACGCCACGTAAAACCAGAGTCATGATAAACAATATA